TGTCTACTTGATGGGTTTTAGTAACACCATGGAATCACACCTCTGCATGTGTTTATAAGACATCAGCTATCAACTGGTGGGTCTTGAAATTTTGGAGGGGGGGTCAAATGACCCTTTCACTGGGATCACATACCAGATATTCTGCATATTAGATATTTAGAATAAGATCTATAAGAATAGCAAAATTGTAGCTATGGAATTAGCAAAGAAAATATGGTTGGGGGGGTCACCACAACAGGAGAAACTGTATTAAAGGGAAGGTTGAGAACTACTGTTCTAAGGGTATTTCCAGAAGGGTTTAGCAAAGGGAGAAGACCTGCCCTGGCTGCTGGTGGTTGTGGTTTCCTGGGTTAAATGAAAAGGGGAAAGCAATCTAGGCACCAACATTGACCTCTCTCTGCCTCTTGACTGGCAGATATGTGACCAGCTGCCTCATGTTCCTGATGATTGATGGGGATGTCCTTCCATATATATGTTTCTGTTATTGGTTGATGAATAAAACGCTGCCTGGTTAATGAGGCAGGAAGATAGGTGGGACTGGGTTGAGGAGAATTCTGGGAAAGGTAGTCAGAGAAGGCCCACTGGAGAAATTGCCATGTAGGCCACCAAAGGAGTAGCAGGTCTAGTCCCTTCACTGGTAAGATAAGATCATGTGGAAATACTTAGATTAATTGAAATGGGTTACTAATTAAGACTGAACTAGCCAGTAAGAAGCCCTAGACACTGGGCAACAGTTTTATAACTAATATAGCATCTGTGTATTTATTTGGGGCTGAGAAGGGTAGTGGTACCCATGCAGGCAAGAACTTCTGCAGCAGATGGTAGTTTGTTCCCTGGAGCTATGACCTACAATAAACCCTTCCTTCCTTAAATTTCCTGTTAGGTATTTACTCATGATAATGACAAAAATGATTACCAGAGTTCCTTCTCTAGAAATACACACACACACACACACACACACACACACACACACACACACACACGCACACACACACGCACATTATCCCCCCCCACACACAGGAGAGAGAGACAGACAGAGAGAAAGAGAGAGAGAGAGACAGAGAAACATGGAGAGAAATAAGTGGGTTACAGATATTTTAGGGGGTCAGCAAACTGTTCCATATAGTTCCACAATGGTGGCTAAAAGTCACTAGATATTTGCCCAAATCCACAGGGTTCACAACACAGTATGCACTACAGATACTGAATGACAGTAAAATGTCTCTGCAGCTTTATCACAAAGTGCACTATGCTGGTAGAGAATAGCAGGGCAGGGAGGACACCGCAAACTCTCCACCTTCTGGTCAGTTTTTCTGTGAACCTCAAGTTTCTATTGAAATCTATTTTTACACACAGAGTCAGATGAGTCATCTGAGTTTGTCGTCTGGCAGTGGACTTCAGTCCAGGAGATGGGGAGCTTGAAACTGCAGGCACTGCTTGTTGTATGGAAATTTTGTCTATATGGGAAGGTCAGAGACAGGAAGAGGGGAGGTGGGTACTTTTTTTCCTCTGAGAAATTGGCAGAGGAAAACACACCATACTTCCGTAACTAGAACCATATTTCCTATAGCTTTACCTGTTATTTCAGACTTCAGAAACATAGTGCCTAGAGCCAGTCCTAGTAAAGATAGAGCTAGTTGGAGCCTTCATGTGGTGGTAACTGGCCCCTGGGCATGTAGACCACCTGCTTGCTTTTCCTTTTTAGGGGTTGTAGGAGAAGAGGGATGACAAAACTCAGGTGAGTGATCTCTCATTACCAAGGTTTATGCTACAGGCTGGAAGACTGGATCCATATCTGGAAAGCACTATCAAGAGTGACTGAGTTAGGGGGCACTGTGCCCTGTTGCTCTTCAATCCTGTTTTGGGTTCAGCACACATGGCACAGGAAAATCCTTCCCCTGACACTCAGAATCTGTTCTCCTGTCTTAACACGGAGATCCCACTGTGGGTCATTAAAAGGAAGAGCTGGTGTGACTGGTGTTTCTCTAGGAATGACACTGAAAGTAAAAATCCCAGATGACATACCGATAATTTCCAGTAACTTCCCCTAAATCTATGGTCTGGGATGGGTGTGCATTACCAGAGAAGGCATGTGTCCATTTGGGGCAGGGGTCTCATAGCTCTGTGAGCTCTATAGATTAGGAGAAGCAGAGACTGAGCTGAGTAGCATCAAGCATTAACCACACTGTGCTTTATGATTGTAGGTGCAATGTAACCAGGTGCCCAATCTTCCTGTGACTTGGGTACCATAAGGGATTGCACCCGTGGGCCAAAATGAATCCTGCCTCCACTAAGTGCCATTGGCTGCTGAGGTGTGCTGTCACAACAAGAAGAGAAGAAACAGACAAGGGGCTTACACCTTCCTTCTTATGCCCAGTGCTTCTTCGTATAAGGTGGGCAGAGTCATTCGTGCCATTTTCCAGCTGCTGGCTTCATCCCTCAGTGAATCTAGAGTGAATTATCATGAATGTGATGGTTTAAGATAAGGCAAATTTATTGACTTGCAGTCGGGAGGTCTGAAGTCCTAACTGATACTACTCGTGGAGGATCAAATATAGAGTCTCTTTCCTTTAATATCTGTATTCTAGTGCCTTCAATGGAACTTTAAAAATACTTATTTTAAAAGAATTATATACGTGTTTGTGTGCGCGCGCACACGCGTGTGTGTGTGTGTGTGTGTGTGTGTGTTTATACCACGTGTGCACAGATGCCTGTGGAGATCAACAGAGAATGTTGAATCTTTAAAAAAGAAGTCAGCTGTGACTGGACATATGGCTCAGTAGTTTAGAGCATTGTCTGGCAGCTAACAACTGTCTGTAACTCCAGTTCCAGGGTATCTAACAACATCACACAGACATACATACAGGAGAGACACCAATGCACATATACTTTTTTTTTCAGATTTAAAAGATGTAACCATTATTCTCCCCAATTCCCCTAGCAGTCAAGGTCACACCTGATGCATACTGTCTATATACGGGGTTTAAATTATTTTCTAGTAACCAAGAGTATTCTGCAATCTCAAGAACAGATTTTTTAAATCCTCGGGATTACCAAAATATAGATTTTCTATTTTGATGATTTTAAAACCAATTTACTTTCTTACTTCTCCCACCTCTCCCACCCCCACCCCTCTCCACTGTGGGGGATCAGACCTGGCGCCATACATGCTGTGCAAACATTCCTTCACCGAGTCACATCTTTTTTTTTTTTTTTTTTGCTCTGTTTTTTTTTTTAAATTTTATTTTCCAGTTTAAATTTAGATAAGAAACAAGGTTGCTTCACAAGTCAGTTCCAGGTCCCTCTCCCATTCCCTCCCTTCCTCCTGTGCCCCCCCCCGTTATCCCCTCATTTCTCCAGGGAGGGTGAGGCCCTCCATGGGGGTGTGCATAGTGTGTCATTTCATATAGGGCAGGGCCTAGACCCTTCCCCAAGAGTTCAGGGTGAGAGTGCACCTCACATTGTTCTATAGGAGTCCAAAGTCCGTGTGTATACTTAGGATGGGTACTGATCTGCTGCCCAAGGCTCAGTAGATTTCCTAGGCCTCCTCACTGACACCCAGATTCAGGGGGTCTTGATCAGTCCCATGCTGGCTTCCCAGGCTGATGCCTGGGATTCAAGAGTTAACCTTTGTCTGGTCAGCTGTTTCTGGGGGTTAAACCAGCCCAGTCTTAATCCCTTTGATCATCAGTCCTCCCTCTCTGTTACTGGCTTTCTTGAGTTCAGCTCAGTACTTAACCAAGGGAGTCTGCCTCTTCTTCAATCAGCCACTAAATAAAGTTTCTGTTTCCCAGACTCTCTGGCCATAGGATTGTAGGCTGGCACTCCCCAGATCTATGTCTAAAATCCATATATGAGAGAGTACATGCCATGTTTCTCTTTTTGTGACTGGGTTACCGCACTCAGGATGGTTTCTTCTAGTGTCGTCCATTTGCCTGCGAATCTCATGATTCCATTATTTTTTTCTGCTGAATAGTACTCCATTGTGTAGATGTACCACATTTTCTCTATCCACTCTTCAGGTGAGGGACATCTAGGTTGCTTCCACGTTCTGGCAATTACAAATAAAGCTGCTATGAACATAGTGGAACAGACATCTTTGTTGTATGAATGAGCATCTTTTGGATATATGCCTAAGAGTGGAGTTGCTGGGTCTTGTGGTAGGTTTATTCCCATTTTTCTGAGGAATCTCCACACTGATTTCCAAAGTGGCTGAACCAGTTGGCACTCCCACCAGCAATGGAGGAGTGTCCCCCTTTCACCACATCCTCTCCAGCATAAATTGTCATTGGTGTTTTTGATTTTAGCCATTCTGACAGGGGTGAGATGGTATCTGAGAGTTGTTTTGATTTGCATTTCCCGGATGGCTAAGGATGTTGAGCACTTTCTCAAGTGCCTCTCAGCCATTTTAGACTCCTCTATTGAAAACTCTCTATTTAGTTCTGCAGCCCACTTTTTAATAGGGTCCTTTGGTGTTTTGGAGACTTGCTTCTTGAGTTCTTTGTAAATTTTGGAGATCAACCCTCTGTCAGATGTGGGATTAGTGAATATTTTTTCCCATTCTGTGGGCTGCCTTTTTGTCTTGCTGACTGTGTCCTTTGCCTTACAGAAGCTTCTCAGTTTCAGTAGGTCCCATTTATTAATTGTTGATCTTACTGCCTGTGCTACTGGTGTTAATTGCACATATACTAATAATAAATCTTAAAAATATCATCTGGGTTAGTGAGATGGCTCAGTGGGCAAGGGTGTTTGCTGTGAAGACTAAAGACCTGAGTTAAATCCCTAGGGCCTACATAGTAGAGGGAAAGAACCAACTTCAGCAAGTTGTCCTCTGACTGCCACTCATACTGCCACACACACACACACACACACACAGACCCCAATTTTTTAAATAGTAAAAGCCATTATTATAGCAGGACACATTTACATGTGAAATATCTGGTCTGGCTCTTATAAAGATCACAACATCAAACCTCTTCCTCTTCATGTGAGGAAGCTGATACAGAAACCGTGTGACCAGCCTCAGTCCACACATCCTGCCTATTGTGTTGGCTGCAGGGCTCCAGGTCCAGACCTGCTCCGGCTGCTGGAGCCTGAATCATGTCACTTTGTCTTGCCACTGTGCTGGCCGTCGGTGAGTCCTGGGAGAAATGGAGGGATGGGGCAGGTGATCTGGGGGAGGGGGTTCTATTCCCCACTCAGGCCTGAAGGCAGCCAAGCGGATTCTGGAGACCTTGTGGGGAGAATCCCTCCACACCATCTCCTCCCTGGAGACTCATTGCTAGAAACAAGGATGGGGCACGTGGGCAAATTCAGCCTCAAAATGAGCTAGGAAGAGCCCATTTGGACAGGGACGATGACTTGGGGACATTTCTTTTTCCCAGTGTTGGAGGTTGAGCTAAAGCTGAATGCATGTTAGGTAAGCACAGTACCACAGTGTTCCGTAAATACAAGCCCTCCTTTTATGTTTTAACATCATAGATTGTAAAGAGAAGCTTTTTCTTTGAGAGGGGCTTTCCCGCCAGCCTGGTTCTAGAGCTGCATCAGTCCCAAATAAACACACAGGAGGCTATAATAATTATGAAGCTGTTGGCCTTGTTTGTTTCTTACTGGCTAGCTCTGACTTAAGTATTTACCCCATAATTGTTAATCTGTGTATTTCTCTTACGGGAGACATTCTGTGCATCCTACCCCATGGCGGTTACATCTTGAATTCCTGTGTTTCTCCTTCCCAGAATCCTACTGGACTCCTAGTCCCACCTATCTAGATTCCTATTGGCTCAACAGTACTTTTTTGACAAATAACAGGCAAATAACAGGACTTCCCCAACATCTCCTCTTTTCTGTTTAAACAAAAGAAAGGTCTTAACTTTAACATAGTCAAATTATATACAACAGCTATCATGCAAAAACACAGTTACAACATTTTGTCTATCAACATTTAACAAGATTTAAAGAAAATATCATCTATCTCATTCTTGTGAGTCCAAAGTCCTATATGTAGTTTATCTCTTATCATAACTAAGGAAAACTATAATTATAACTGTCTTCAACTCCATCAAAGACCATAGAAGGATAATATACAATCACTAGGATTGACAGAGATATCTTACTGTCTGGACAGTCACCCGAAGTTCCTCTGTAACGTTGGGACATCCATCTTCAGCCCATAGGCCACAATGTGTCTGGAACACTTCTCAGCAAAGCAGGAAATTTCAAACTGTCCATCTGCATTGGCAGTCTGTCAGTCATTTTTCTGTGTCCTGCAGAAAGTCTGGTAGACTCTTCCATGAAGCAGGAACCCTGTAAGACTGAGTTCAGCTGTCACTTTTCTGTGGGTCCTGCATGTCCAGATTATACAACAACAGTCAAGCAGTACAGGCAAGAGCAGTTTCTTGCCCAAATGGCTAATCTTGCCATGTTGAAAGCAAACTCCATAACAAGTTTCTTCGATGCCCATTTTCCTCCCAGACATAATTGGTGCTGCCAGGAGCAGACATTTCTCATTGTCAAGAAAAACCCTAAACCATTTTAAATGCCATTTTCTGAAGGTCTTTGAGAGGTTTGAAGACTGTTTATCTATCTCAAATATATTTCTGTATATCTAGGAAACCTAACTTACCTAACTATAAATTCTGACTATTATAAGTAACTATCTATAATCTGTATTTAATTACGCATTACATTTTAAAAGATCAGTATAAGCACAATACTTAATCAAGAGGAGAAATATACATATCACAAAATTGACCTTGAATTTGTATCAATAAATGAAAAACAATACCCATACCATAATTCCCCTTTTTACCATTAAAAGGAGATTGGTTGTGATCATTAATCAATTATAAACAATCCCATTTAAATGAAAACAAAGATTTATAAACAAGATGGGAATTGGGACGTCGTTCATTCCAAACTGCTTCCTGTTGGAAGGGGGCACTGTTCACACCATGGGGATCATGACAAAACTCAGAAACCTGTATAAGTCCTTATTTTTGTGGTCTGTAAAGCTCCATCATCTTAGCTGTCTCAATTTTTGAAACGCCTGGCCCACTGCTTCCAGGGGTCTTGGTTCATCAAACCACAGAAGCCTAGAAGGAATCCTCAGCTTTTCATTTTCTGTGGAAACATAAACTAAAACTCCTTTTCTGAGTAACATATCCTTATACTTAAATTTTGAAGTCAAGGCATTTTCAAAAGATATAAGTTGAATTAATTCAGCAGCATTTATAATCAAGTGTACTTTAGCATTTGTTCCTTCCTTAGCAATGAAAAAACTAAAAAACACAATAACGTACAGTATCCAGACTTTCTGTGTATTTTCCATCTTTGTGTGGCTTATTTATTTATCTATTATTACTTTATTTATTTTACTTTTATTTATTTTTCTCTGAGACAGGGTTTCTCTTTGGAAATCTGCCTGCCTCTGCCTCTGGAGTAAATCCTACCAGCATTCGCCACCACAATGTCGGCTTTTCTATTTATTTACCACCTTGTCGTTTCATTTTCTCTCTCAATCTCACGTATATTTTTAAACACACTGTAAACCTTTAGAGGTTTTTCTTCATTTAAGTCTGACTTTACTGTAAATCTTTATGTTTTTCTGGCCACGTGTCTTATCTGTAAAACCGTGGCTGTTTTAAACTGCCATATTTTCTAAGATGGCGGGCTTAAGCGTGATTCCAGCTTACTGCCTCAGTCCATGCTGACATCCAGGAAAAGCTGCCACTTCCAGCAGTACGTACACACCTTTCAATCATTAGCAGAGTCTCTTAAATCAACCTTGCTGGCTGATTTTTTTTTTATGCCTAGTCAGGAAGACTCCGGTAAGTGAGCCACGTGAATCTCGGCTTGTTGCTAGCAAAACAGAGCACACCTGAGAAAAATGCTGCTACCAAAATCTGTGCTTCTCTCTGTTCTTCTGTTTTTAAAATTCCTTTAAAGCTTTTGTTGTTTTGCGTGGAAATTCAATCCCACTCCTGACAACCATTCTGTAAAAAGAAGCTTTTTTCCTTGAGCCGCTTTGGTTTATGCCCCGCCTGCCGCCTGGGCTCTGCCACATTGTAGTCCCCAAATAAACACACAAGACGCTGTATTAATTAGGAAGCTGTTGGCCTTGTTTGTTTCTTACTGGCTAGCTCTGACTTAAGTATTTACCCCATAATTGTTAATCTATGTATTTCTCTTACCGGAGACATTCCGGGCTTCCTACCCCATGGCGGTTACATCTTGAATTCCTGTGTTTCTCCTTCCCAGAATCCTACTGGACTCCTAGTCCCACCTATCTAGATTCCTATTGGCTCAACAGTACTTTATTGACAAATAACAGGACTTCGATTCTGGAGACCTTGTGGGCAGAGTCCCTCCACACCATCTCCTCCCTGGAGACTTATTGCTAGAAACAGGGATGGGGCATGTGGGCAAATTCAGCCTTAAAATGAGCTAGGAAGAGCCGGTTTGGACGGGGACGATGACTTGGGGACATTTCTTTTTCCCAGTGTTGGAGGTTGAGTTAAGGCTGAATGCATGTTAGGTAAGCACAGTACCACAGTGTTCCGTAAATGCAAGCCCTCCTTTTATGTTTTAGCATCACAGATGCTACGTGTTATTGAATACCCTTGTTCAGAGACTATTTTCTTTTTAAAAAAGTTTTTATTAGTTCTTTGAGGGTTTCCTAAATGACTCTCCCAACTCTTCCAAGGTCTGCCTTCTTCCAGACACACTCAACTTTGTGTCCATTTTCATTTTTATCTTATTTACTTATTTTGGTTTTCTTGAGACAAGGCTTCTCTGTGTAACAGTCCAGACTGTGCTGGAACTCTTCTTTGTAGACAGGGCTGGGTTTGAACACACAGAGCTCCACTTGTTTCTGCCTCCCAAGTGCTGGGATTAAAGGTGTGTGTCATAACCTCCTGGCTCCTTTGTGTCCATTAAAAAAAAAGCCATTTAAGACCAATTAGTGCTTCCCAAATATTCTTGTGTGTAGTCTAGCACTGAACAAGATTGATTTAACAGGGGCTACACTTTTTAATTTAATTGTATTATTATTATTATTGGTTATTTTAGAGGCAGTGTCTTGTTATGTAGCTCTGACTGTCCTGAACCCATTATGTAGACCAGGCTGGATCTCACTCATAAAGCTTCACCTGCCTCACAAATGCTGAGATAAAAGTTTGCCCCACTACACCCCATACCCGGGGCTACACTCTTTTTTTAAAATTTAAATTAGAAACAAGCTTGCTTCACATGTCAATCCCAGCTCTGTATCCCTTCCCTCTTCCCCTGCCCCCCACTAGCCCCCCTCACCTCCCACCCAATCCCCACTCCACTCTCCTGGGAGAGTGAGGCCCTTCATAGGATATCTCCAAAGTCTGTCATATCATCAGAGGCAGGGCCTAGGCCCTCCCCCATGTGTCCAGGCTGAGAGAGCATCCCTCCATGTGGAATGGGCTCCCAAAGTCCATTTGGATGACAGGGATAAATACTGATCTACTACTCGAGGCCCTATAGATTGCCAAGGCTTCCTCACTGACACCCAAATTTTAGGGGTCTGGATCAGTCCCATGTAGGCCCCTCAGCTATCAGTCTGGGGTCCAAGATCTCCCCCCTTGCTCAGGTCAGCTGTTTCTGTGGATTTCACCCGCCGGGGCTACACTCTTAACTAAAACTGACTCTCCCTCTTCCAGTAGCTGGCAATTACCATTAGCTCCAAGGCTACAGCAAGAAATATGTGCCTAAACTTCCATTCATTTCCGGTATTTTGTCTGGTTGGGCTTGCACGGGTATTGTGCGTGCTGTCACAGGTGCTGTGAGTTCATAGCAGCTGCCCTGCTGTGTTCAGGGTACACTGTGGTCCCTGAAACCATCTGCTGCCTCTGGCTTTTATGATTTCCCATCCCCTCTTCCTAAATGATGTCTGAGTCTTGGGAGGAGGAGATGTATGGTAGGTATGATCGCTTTAAGGCTGAGCATTCTGTAGTCTGGTATTCTCTACACCTTGATCATTTATGGGTCTCTGTGTTAATCTCTGTCGACTGCAAATAGAAGGTTCTCAGATGAGGGAGGGGTGGGGATGTGTCGAGCCACAGGCACACTGACAAATGCGTGTTTTGTTATCTTTTTGAAAATTTCATAGATGCATGCCATATGTTTTGAACATATTCATCCCCATTTTTCCTGTAATTCAGTACACACCCCTCCCTCCCCCTATTTTGCATCTCCCTTTTAAAAAATAATCCAGTGAATATAATTTGTCCTGTCTGTATACTCAAGGGAATGGGGCCATCTGCTGGAGCCTGGTTAGCCTACCATGGATCACACCCTTAGAGAAAATTCTCCCTTTCCCGGAAGCCATAAACTGTAAACAGATCCTCATCTTAGGAGTGGGGACTTTCTGAACCCTCCCACTCCATTCCAGTGCTCATTTTACTTTTTTCCATTTTTATTCATGCTTCTCTCATATAATAAATCCCGACAGCAGTTTCCCCTTCCTCCATCGCCCCCACCTGCCCCGTTCCTCCATCCTCCTTCTGTACCCCCCACATCCACTGCTCCTCCAGCATCCCTTGAGAAAAGAGCAGTTCTCACAGGAGATATCAGTCTAGTATGCCATAGCAAGATGCAATAAGACTAGGAACAAATCCTCATATCAAGGCTGAACAAGGCAACCCAGTAGAAAGAATAAGCCCCAAGGGTAGACAAAAGAGTCAGAGGTACGTACACCTGCGTCTACTGTTAGGAGTCCCACAAAAACCCCCAGATAAACAACCATAACATACATGCAGAGGCCATAGTGCAGACCCATGCAGGTTCTGAGATTGCTGCTTCAGTCTCTGTGAGGCTCTATGAACCCTGCTTAGTGTGGGCCATGTTCTCCTGGTGTCCTGAACCCCTCTGGCTCCTACAGTGTTTTCTCTTCCTCTCCCTTGTGGTTCTCCGAGCTCCACCTAATGTTTGGCTGTGGGTCTCTGTATTTGCTCTGCCATCTGCTAGAGGAAGCCTCTCTGATAACGATTGGGCTAGACTCTGAATTAACTCCATTTTACTTTTGGTTTTGAGACCTGGTCTGTCTTCAAGTCACATTGTATCCCAAGTAATACTTGAATGTATGACCCAGTTGAGTAAGCTGGGATTTGAGTCTGTGTCTCTGCCTCTGGCCTTGGGGTTAATTCGAGAGTTCTTTCAGAGGTAGAAGGAGGACTGTACTCTGACACTAATGGGGAGGACGGATGGTTGGGTGATCATCGGAGGCTGGATGTCCCCACCTATGTCTCCTCCTTCCCAGATTCTCATCTGTAAGCAAACCATGTGTTGAGCGTCTTTCTCACTGGGACTTCTCTTTCAGTGCTGTGCCTGGGACAGACAGTTAACACCAAGGAAGGTGAGTCAAGTCTTTGGCTGCTTCTGAACCCATGGGTATCTTTAGAGAAGATCGTGTGCACCTGGGCGGCCTGGAGGGAGACCCTTCAATATTCCCTGTAATATTCCTCCCAAATATTCAGCCTTCACCTCTCTTCCTTTTCCCACCTGTCTTCCTTTGTTTTCTTGGTTAAAAATGTTTTTAATTGACAAATAGTACCAGTATATATTTATGGGATGTAATTCACCATTTTGAGGTGTGTTTACTCTACACTTTGATTATGTTAGGCTAAGTCTCATGTTTGTCATCTTTTTTTTTGGTTTTACGAGACAGGGTTTCTCTGTATTGTTTTGGAGGCTGTCGGTCCAGCCCAGCCTCGAACTCACAGCGATCTGCCTGCCTCTGCCTCCCCAGTGCTGGGATTAAAGGCGTGCACCACCACCGCCCGGCCATGTTTGTCATCTTTGACACTCATCATTTTTGTTGTTGTTGGTGAGAGTGTTACACATCTACCGTTGTAGGAATTTTTAAAGAAACTGTCATGCATGGTAGATCTGAGAAATGCATTTATCCTGTCTAAATGGAATTTCAGATCTTTGATGACCATCTTCTCTGTCTGCTTCCACCTTCTCTCTAGGCTCAGGCAACCAACCATTCTTCTCTCATTCTGTTTGTTTCTGGGGCCAATGCCTTTGCATTCCATGTATAAGTGAGATCCTGTAGTATGTTATTCTGTGACTGACTTAATTCATTTAACACCCTCAGATTCATTTGATTGCCACCTACAGCAGCATTTCCTTTCTGAAGGATGACCAATGTTCTATAATGTCTGTGAATCAAATTACTTTTTCTATTCATCTACTGACTGACAGTTGCCTTGATTCTCTCTCTTCTCTACTAGGAATCATGCTGGGAAGAAGGTGGGGGATGAGATAACTCTATACTAGGCTGTCTGTGAAGACCAAGCATGACCAAGTCTACAGCTGAGTGATGACTGCCCATAACCCAGATCTCTCTTAGGATCCCCTTAGCAAGGCCTTGACTGTCTCAAAGATGAGAATTCACACTTGATCTCATGTCTCTATCTTCCTATGTACAACATGTCTCCACATCCTGTTGACCCTTCCCCCTAAATTTGTAAGTCTGTTGTTAGTTTAATTAGTTTGTTTGTTTTGAGACAGGTTCTATGAGACAGGTTCTATGAGACAGGTTCTATGAGACAGGTTGTTTTGAGACTATGTATCTATGACTGTCCTGTAGCTCACTCTATAGACAAGGCTGTTGTAGAACACACAGGGATATGCCTCTTTCTGCCTTCCAAGTGTCGGGATTACATGCGTGCAACACCACACACAGCCTCAAGTCTCTCTCTTTTTCGCATAAAAATCTGCTAACATCTTCCTAAGCTTCTTCCCTACCCACTCGTTGGTGTCTTCCCTCGTGTCTGCTCTGAGTGTATACATCATCCTTGTATACACCATCTCACCCTTTTTGACACCATGGAGATTGTTCCTTGCTATGAAGAAGCACAGATATCATCCTTATTTTATTAATGTTTTATTCCAGAGAGTCTTTTCCAGTCCCAATAACTAGGCATCATCCACCAACTCTCTTTCTAATTATTAACAATTATTTTTTGATTAAAATATAATTACATCATTTCTACTGTCTCTATACCTCCTCCAACACATTCTATGTCCCTTTTTTTCCATGATCCCTTTCAAATGCATGGCCTTTTAAAAATTATTGTTACATTTATTCAAATAAATGTATAAATACAATTTGCTGTGCAGTGGTTAGTGTTGCCTATATGTATATGTGTCTGTTTACGTATACATGTGTGTGTGCGTGTGCACGTGCACACACATGCATGCACACACACGCATGCACACACATGCACATGCTTTCAGAGATGACAACTTGATATTGGAAACCAGTTAAGAGGCTCTTCCCTGGGGAATACTAATCCTCCCTCTCTCAGTAGTCATTAAACTCTTGTAGCTCTTCATCTAGGCATGGGGCCCTGTGAGATTTCCCTCATCCAAGTTGGGTGTTGTCTTTGCTCAGGACATGTTTAGGCAGTCGTATTGTTGAGGTATCATGGGTATAGCTTCCCAGTCATATTGGGAAGATACACTCTCACTGTAGATGTCCTTGTTTTCTGGCTTTTACAGTCTTCTTGTTCCCTCTTCTGTGATGTTCCCCGAACCTTAGTTATAGAAATGTGTTGTAGATATATCCATTGGGAACAGACCCTCATTACCAGTTGTTTTCTGCGTTTTGATCAGTAGAGGTTTGCTGTAATGGTCTCCAGGTGCTGTGAAAAGAAACTTCTTCCCTGAGGGTGGAGAGGCCACCTAGCCAGTCAGATCAGCTGAATCAACTTTGGCGATCAATGGGGTGACAGATGTTGCAGCCAGATCGGCCTCATACTTGATCCTCTTATCAGGCTTGCTTATCTTTAGGTTCTTCAACATTCTTCCATTTTCTTTAAATACTCCAGTCATCCATGACCCTCCGAGTACCTCACAGGATGAATTTTAACTTAATTTTTAAAATGACAAAAATCGCATGTGTTTACCATGTCTGACTTCATATTTGGAAATGAGGAGATATTAGTGAAGGACCAAATCAAACCAATTAGCATATGATTCATTTCAGTTCTCACATTTCACACATTTCAGTTCTCAGACAGCACTTAAATCCTGCTCTCAGTGACTCCAATGGACACGAGGCTTTGTGTTAACCATCTTTGGCATATCCCACAGAAGAAGGACTACTTCTCCTAATGAAGCAGAGGGCCTGTCTGTATCCTTTGAAAGGCACTTTAACCTGTTTTATCAGTGTTTGATTCTCCATGTCCCTGTCAGCTATGTACAAGGAGTTTATGCCTTTAGGGTCTCAGCGCAAGTATCTCTCCTCTATCATTTCAGGGAGGACATCTCTGTTCTCACCTGTCACTTGAGATTCCTATGCTCACCCCTCACCTTCATTGAAGTTTTGTGTCACAGTACTGGACAGTTTATTCTTTCTACATCTGTCTTTTCTTCCAAGTTTCAGCTTCAAATGGAAGAAATTGTGTTCCTTGTAAAAAGGAAGCCATGGAAATATAGAAAACAACTTCAAAATGATGACTAAGATATTAAAAATGGTTGAAAGAATGAGTGAAGGAAGGAGAGAGGGTTAGGAAATCTTGGTTTAAGTAAGGGCAAAAAATTTCATTTACACATTGCTAAGGGCAGGAGGTCAATTATGCAGCATGGCTAGCAACTATGCATTTGTAAGCTTGGAAATTGCTAAGGGGGGTGGTGAATGTTATCCCCAGAAAAAGGTAAATTTATGAGTTCATCCACATTGATTATCTTGAATCAGCTGTTTCATAGCACACATCAAGACATCATCTTAAACACAGTAAAAGTCAGCATTTTAAATTTGTCTTTGGGCATAATATACTTATTTGTGATTTATGGGGATGCTCCTACATTCAGACAGCTTGAAGCAGGTGGGCTTTTAAAGCCGCAATAACAGACTGGACAGAAGGTGGAGATAGAGGTAGTAAGTGCAGAGGTCCCTGGAATGAGGCATTTCCCAGAGATTCAGTGGGCTCTGTAACAGACATGTCCAGCCTGGCATGTTCTGAGATTTCCTTGGATGAATCTTTGCTAGACCGAAGATGTGCTTAAGATTAGGTTTCTTGGTGTCATGTGGCAGGAATTCAAATGCACACAGAAAGTGAGGATGTCATGGAGCTGCACTTTCATCATGTCTGGAGAACTCTAAACTTGGTGATAATATAGAATGCACCCCTAAATTGGTTTAGTGTTGTGATGGTGTCCTGCCTGTGTACACTGAGATTCCTGCTCTGCTCTCTCCTAGGGTTTCTGGAGATTCCTTCCATCTCCGTTGAACCAGGCCTTACTGTCCCCCAAGGGCATTTTGTAACATTTGTGTGCTCAAGCTCTAGTGGGTATGACATATTCCGCCTGGAGAAGGAAAACCAGGAAGTCACGGATAAGAAGAGCACCCCTCATTCTCTGACAGAGGCTCGATTCCGCCTTGGCCCAGTGGATGACAGCTTTGCTGGGAGCTATGCCTGTGTCTATGAGAAAGAGTCCACCTGGTCTCCACCCAGTGAGACCCTGGAGCTGATGGTAACGAGAGATTATATCACCCAGGCTCCTGACCCAGGACCAGCAGTGACCTCAGGTTTGTTCCCAGGTCCCTGGACTCTAACCCTAACTGCTCTCTCCTGTCTCAACTTCCTCTTCTTTTTCTTTTTTTAAACTTTTTATTACTTTAATTTTAAATAGCTTGCTTCACATATCAATCCCAGTTCCCTCTCCCTCCCCTCTTCCTGCACCCTCCCACCCTATCCCCCCCCAGCCTCCCACCCTATCCCCACTTCTTTCCACATAGGGGATATGCAGAGTATGTCATTTCGCTCAGGGCAGGGTCCAGGCACTCCCCTAAGAGTCCAGGCTGAGAGCATCCCTTTGTGTTATGGACACACGAAAGTCCATTTTTATGCCAGGGATAAACACTGATATACTGCCCAGGGCCCCATAGGTTGCCCAGGCCTCCTCACTGATTCAGGGGGTCTGGATCAGTCCCATGCTGGCCTCCCAGATGTCGGTCTGGGGTCCAAGAGCTCCCCCCTTGTTCAGATCAGCTGTCTCTGCTGGTTTCCCCAGCCCATGCTTTGCCAATTGGCTCATCGCTCCTCTCTCTGTGTCACTGGATTCCATGGCTTCAGTTCAGTATTTAATTGTGGGTGTTTGCCTCTGCTTCCATCAGTCACTGGATGAAGGTTCTAGGATGGCATATAGTGTAGACATCAAGTTCATTATCAGGAATGGGTATTTAAGGTGGTCTCTCCACTATTGCTTAGCTTGCCAGTTGGGGTCATCCTTTTAGATCATTATTGGTCTCACTGGTGCCAAATCTCTCTTCTAACCTATGATTCCCTCTATTATGGTATTTCTCATCCTGTTCTCTCCCTATTCTAACTCCCACTCAACCTTCCTGTTCCGCCACGACCTACTCTCTCTTCCTCTTCTCCCCCTCTCTTCTTCCCAGCTCCCACTCACCCCAACCTCTCGCCGTGTCCCCAAACTGTTCAGATCTTGTCTCATTCCTTGTCTCTGGGGTATCATGCATATCTCTTACGTTCTTTCCTGTTTCCCAGACTCTCTGTCAGTGGAAGTGCAGACTGGCACTATCCTGATCTATGTCTAAAATCCATATATGAGTGAGTACATACCGTGTTTGTCTTTGTGACTGGGTTACCTCAGTCAGGATGGTTTCTTCTAGTGTCATCCATTTGCCTGTGAATTTCAAGATTCTATTGTTCTTTTTCTGCTGAGTAGTACTCCATTGTATGAGTGTACCACATTTTCTCTATCCACTCTTCAGTTGAGGGGCATCTAGGCTGCTTCCTGGTTCTGGCTGTTACAAATAATGCTGCTATGAACATAGTGGAACAGATGTCCTTGTTGTATGAATTTGCATCTTTTGGATATAGGACTAAGAGTGGGATTTCTGGGTGTTGTGGTAGATTGATTACCATTTTCCTGAGGAATCTCCATACTGATTTCCAAAGTGGCTGTACGAGTTGGCACTCCCACCAGCAGTGGAGGAGTGTTCTCCTCTCTCCACATCCTCTCCAGCATAACTTGACTTTGGTGTTTTTTATTTTAGCCATTCTGACAGGAGTAAGATGGTATCTCAGAGTTGTTTTGATTTGCATTTCCCGGATGGCTAAGGATGTTGAGCAATTTCTCATGTGTCTCTCAGCCATTTTAGACTCCCCTATTGAGAATTCTCTATTTAGTTCTGTAGCCCACTTTTTAATGCATCCTTTGGTGTTTTGGAGACTTGCTTCTTGAATTCTTTGTAAATTTTGGAGATCAGCCCTCTGTCAGATGTGGGGTTAGTGAATATCTTTTCCCATTCTTTGGACTGCCTTTTTGTCTTGCTGAGTTTGTCCTTTGCCTTACAGAAGCTTCTCAGTTTCAGGAGGTCCCATTTGTTAATTGTTGATCTCAGTGTCTGTGCCACTGGTGTTATGTTCAGGAAGTGGTCTCCTGCACTTCCTGCACTTCATTGAAGAGTATCTCCTACTTTCTCTTCTAAGAGTTTCAGTGTGGTTGGATTTATGTTGAGGTCTTTGATCCATTTGGACTTAAGTTTTGTACAAGGCGATAGACATGGATCTATCTGCAGTCTTCTGCATGCCAATATCTAGTTATGCCAGCACTATTATTTGAAGATGCTTTCTTTTTTCCATTGTATAATTTTAGCTTCTTTGTCAAAAATCAAGTGTTCATAGGTGTGTGGGTTAAAATCAGGGTTTTCAATTCGGTTCCATTTGTCTACCTGTTTATTTTTGTGTCAATACCAAGCTGTTTTCAGAACTATAGCTCTGTAATAGACCTTGGAGTCATGTATGATGATGCCTCCTGAAGTTCCTTTATTGTATATGGTTGTTTTGCCTATCCTGGGTCTTTTGTATTTCCATAAAGAGTTAATTATTGTTCTTTCAAGGTCTGTGAAGAATTGTGCGGGGAATTTTGATAAGGATTGCATTGAATCTGTAAACTGCTTTTGGCAAGATTGCCATTTTTATTATGTTGATCCTACCAATCCAAGAGCATGGGAGATCTTTCCATTTTCTGGTATACTCTTTGATTTCTTTCTTTAAAAACTCAAAGTTCTTTATATACAGGTCTTTCACTTCTTTGGTTAGCATTATCCCCAGATATCTGATGCTGTTTATGGCTATTGTAAAGGGTGATGTTTCTCTGATTTCTTTCTCAGCTACTTCATCATCTGTATATAATAGGGCCACTGATTTTTTGAATTTACCTTGTATCCTGCCACTTTGCTGAAGGCGTGATTTATCAGCTCTAGGAGTTCCCTTGTGGAGTTTTTCGGGTCACTTATGTAAACTATCCTATCATCTACAAATAGTGAAAGCTTGACTTCTTCCTTTCCTATTTGTATCCCCTTTATCTCCCTTTGTTGTCTTATTGCTGTAGCTAGAACTTCAAGTACAATATTGAAGAGATATGGAGAGAGTGGACAGCCTTGTCTTGTTCCTGATTTTAGAGGACTTGCATTGAGTTTCTCTTCATTTAGTTTGATGTTAGCTGTTGGTTTACTGTATATTGCCTTTTTTATGTTCAGGTGTGTTCCTGTTATCCCTCATCTCTCTAGGACCTTTATCATGAAGGGGTGCTGGATTTTGTCAAAGGCTTTTTCAGCATCTAGTGAGATGATCATGTGGTTTTTCTTTCGCAGTTTGTTTATATGGTGGATTACATTGATAGATTTTCTAATGTTGAACCATATCTGCATTCCTGGGATGAAACCTACTTGATCATTTTGGATGATTTTTCTGATGTGTTCTTGAATCTGATTTGCTAGTATTTTATTGAGTATTTTTGCATCTGTATTCATGAGGGAAATAGGTCTATATTTCTGTTTCTTAGTTGTGTCTTTGTGTGGCTTGGGTACCAAGGTAATTGTAGTCTCACAAAAAGAGTATGGCAGTGAGCCTCCTGCTTCTATTGTGTGGAGTACTTTGAGGAGTATTGGAATTAGCTCTTCTTTGAATTTCTGGTAGAATTCTGCACTGAAGCCATCTGGGTCTGGGCTGTTTTTGGTTGGGAGACTTTTGATGACTGCTTCTACTTCATTAAAGGTTATAGGTCTGTTTAGATTGTTTATCTGTTCTTGATTTAGTTTTGGCAAGTGATATGTATCCAGGAAATTGTCCATTTCATTTAAATTTTTGTGGAGTACAGATTTTCAAAGTATGCCCTGATGATTCTCTGGATTTCCTCAGTGTCCATTGTTATGTCCCCCTTTTCCTTTCTGATTCAGTTAATTAGCATGCTCTCTCTCTCTGTCTTTTGCTTAGTTTGGACAAAGGTTTGTCTATTTTGTTGTTTTTCTCAAAGAACTCACTCTTTGTTTCATTGATTCTGCAATGTTTTCCTGGTTTCTACTTGATAGATTTCAGCCCTCAATTTGATTATTTCCTGGCGTCTGCTCTTCCTGGGTGAGTTTGCTTCTTTTTTTTTTAAACTAGAGCATTCAGCTGTGCTATTAATTCTCTAATGTGACTGTTATCAAGTTTCTTCATGTGGGCACTTAGTGCTATGAACTTTCCTCTCAGCACTGCTTTCAGAGTGTCCCACAAGTTTGGGTATGTTGTGTCTTCATTGCCATTGAATTCCAGGAAGTCTTTAATTTCTTTTTTATTTCTTCCTTAACCCAGGGATGGTGCAATTGTGCATTGTTCAATTTCCATGAGTTTGTAGGGTTTCTGCGATTTGTGTTATTGTTGAATTCTAATTTTAATGCATGGTGGTCTGATAAGATACAGGGGGTTATTCCATTTTTTGTATATGTTGAGTTTTGCTATGTTTCCTATTATGTGGTCAATTTTAGAGAAGGTTCCTTGTGGTGCCGAGAAGAAGGCATATCCCTTTGTGTTTGGGTGGAATGTTCCACAGATGTCTGTTAAACCAAGCTGGGACATAACTTCTATTCATTCTTTTGTTTCTTTGTTAAGTTTCTGTCTGGAGGTCCTGTCTCTGGTGAGAGCAGAGTGTTGAAGTTTCCTACTACTAGTGTGTGAGATTTTATGTGTGATTTGAGCTTTAGTAATGTTTCTTTCATGAATGTGGTTGCCTTTGTATTTGGGGCATAGATGTCCAAAATTGAGACTTCATGTTGATTTGATGGACTTTTCCTTTGATGAATATGAAATGTCCTTCTTTATGTCTTTTGATTGATTTTAATTTGAAGTCTAATTTGTAAGATATTAGGGTTGCTACACCAGCTTGTTTCTTGGGTCTGTTTGATTGGAAAATCTTTTCCCAACCCTTCACTCTGAGGTAACATCTGTCTGTGCCATTGAGATGTATTTCTTGTATTCAGCAGAAGGATGGGTTCTGTCTTCGTATCCATTCTGCTAGTCTGTGTCTTTTTATAGGTAAGTTGAGACCGTTGACATTGAGGGATATTAATGACAATTGATTGATGATTCTTGTTTTCCTTGATTTATTGGTAGTGGAGTTATTGTGTGTAGGTTCTCCATTTTTCTTATGGTGTCTGGTAAAGTGGGATTATATATTGTCTATGTCTTTGTGAGTATAGTTATATTCGTTGGGTCTAGGTTTTCCTTCTAGCACTTTCTG